AAGTGAAGCAATTCAGTTGTTTGTATTAATAGTACAAAATATTTTGTTCAAATAAAAATAATTAATTATCTTAGCTTGAGTAAGTAATCATATCTGTCTTCACTTAATCTTGTATAGCAACCAGCTAAACCCTAAATTAATTACTATATTTATTTTTTCGAGCTTGTGAGAAAAATACCAGAAGGTTGTTTTGAACATTGGAAAGCTAAACCTCGCATTCTTTGTAAGGTTTGCAGTAAGCCAACTAGCTCTGAACCCGGCCTTTGTAGAAAGCATTCTAGTACCTATTATGTGACCCAATATTTTAATAGGCTTCGGAATAAAGCTAATGCCGATAATTTAATCTGGATGAAAATTGATAAATTACTTTTAGAGCTGTCAGTGAACAAAACTAAAGAAGCAGAAGAGCAGTGTCTACAGATCGAAGCACTATGGGTGACTAGCACTATTGCTCCAATCATGAGCAAAGAATCAGAAGATACTGGAGATGAAGCTCCAATTTTCAAGCCCAGTAATGAGGTTACGATCCTTCAATCCAGAATTATTACCTCTGGTAATATTCCTAAATCTCTAATTGATTCGGATAGTGAGAATATGGGTATTGACCTCTTTGGAGATTAGTAAAGCTAGATTATTTTGGCTAATAATTTTTTATTTACATCTTGCTAGCCATTTTTTTTTTTACATCATGCTATTCGATTTTTTTTTTACACCTAGAGGTGAGATGCTTTTATTCGAATGAAAATCGATGAATTGCTTCTAGAGCATCAGCGAACAGAGCTGAAGAAGCAGGAGAGCAAGTTCAAGCGTCTTCCCCAAGGTTGTAGCAAGCTGACTAGCTCTGAACCCGGCCTTTGCAAAAAACATGCTAGTGTTGCTATGTAACCTAATATATTAATAGGCTTCAGGATAGAGCTAATGCCTTTTCGCAATAATCTACCAAGGTGCTCTGATAGTAACCCCAATGGTGCTCTAATAGTAACCACTAATGACTCACCAAAGATAGTAATCTCCAATAGCTTGCTAAAGATACTCTGATAGTGACTTCAATGGCATGTCAAGGTGTTCTGCAGATATAATTTTTTTATACACCCAGTCTGCCTGCTTCTTTTTTTATCTGTTTCTTGCTAACGAAATAGTGTTTTTAAGATTAACAATGCTTTGGATATGTAAGAAGATAAATTTATGTTTTTAAGATTAACAAAACTTTAAATAGATAAAAAATATATTACTTTCCTTAAGGTTAATAAGACTTCAGGTAAGTAAGGATTCAAATTAGCGATCTTAATGAGTAAGAGGGAGTTAGAAAACATTCTAGATATAAAAAAATACACCACAATATAAGCCTTCTAACCCAATTTTAAAGTCAAGTAGAGTATTGAACAAACCTATATTCTTAAGCTTAACAAGGCTTTAGATAGGCAAGAAAAAAAATTTCTTTCCTTGGAGTTAACAGAGCTTTGAGTAGGGAAGAAAACAAATTAGTAAACTTAATAAGTAGAAAGGGTTAGAGAATATTTTTGGTATATAAAAATTTACATCATAATATAAAAGATCTAACCCAATTCTAAAGCCAAATAGGATAGCAAAAAATATAGTATTTTTTATATATGATACTAAGCTTCAATAGGCATTAAAATATGGGAATGATGGTGAAAAAAAAGTTTGCCCACTCTTCCTGCTGCTTTATAGCAGTATCTGAAATAATAGCTTGAGATACGGACCTGGTAGTGGCAGCACAACATGTACTAGTTGGGGAAAGTTACCAAACATGCAGGTGAGCACATGTGTGGGACATGTACCATTCTGTTAGATTTATCACAAGAATAAATGCATATATGGCTAAAGTCTTAGGGTTTTTATATAGCATTGCTAATCTCATTAAGAGTGTTAGGGTAAAGTATGTTACAGAAATGGAGCCAGAGGATTTAAATGGGTATCCCCCATAGTTGGGTGCAGGTACAGCAGCTAGTGTGGAACCTAGGG